AAACGCGCCCGACGCGCTGCTTCAGCTGCTCAGACGCGCTGCGCCTGCTGCTCAAAACGCGCCGCGGGACCTTTTGCTGCACCTTGACGCGCGTCAACCATTGACATTGCATGTAAACTCGCTGCTTCTGTCGCGCCAGCTGCCCCCGGTGTGAATGCAGCATAAAAGGTGAACATAGAGGTCAATCCAGGAGGAAACCCTTTCAGAGGCTGCTAAGGATCTAAGAATGGGTTGGAGGTTCAGCTTTCAGCTAGAAAAAAAAAACAAACAACAACAACAAAACACACAGCTAGAGCTACAATAAGCCCTGGTAAGGACAAAACTAAAATCAACCTCATAATTTGTAGCAAATTAACCGACTGGGTTCATATTTAACTTCAGTGTAACATCATCTTTCTGCACCTTCACAGTAAAGCATTATTCTGTGGTGGTCCTTATATATATATAAAAAAAGAATCTGAGGTTAGGTTAAGAATATTTTAACTAACAGAAAAATATATTTCTCTGGATTGCTCCACAGCAAACTATATGTAGTCTGACCAAGACTAATAAAACATACAAGAATCATGATTCAATAACTCAATATGGCTGAAAACTAAAGCAGGATATCATGTCTAAAATGTAGCTGCAGCAGTATTCTGCAGTACGCAATGTCCCAACATACTCTTCAATATTAAAACAGGGAGAATATTTTCTGTTGTAAGGATTTTCACTGCAATCTATGAGAGGGAAGAAATGGAAGCCGATTGATTAGGAGTGTTACCAACCTGCAGGGACAGGAACGACCACAGTCTTCCTCTGTTTGGTTTGTCCAGATCCACGGCAGGAGTTACAGGGAGTTGAAATCACTTTACCTTTTCCCCCACACCGGCGGCATGTAGAACGCATCACGAATGGACCAGTATTTATTGTTTCCTATGGGTGGGACAGGTGGGTGTTTTAAGGATTATCTAAAACCACAAAGAAAATATGAATTTCATGTTGGCAGTTCTTACCATGCCTGAGCCGTTACAGTGGTTGCAGTGCTGAACCTTAGTCCCTGGCTCATGACCCTTCCCATCACAGCGCTGGCAGGTCGTTTCTATGTTAACAGATATCTCTTTATTTACTCCCTTTGCTGCTTGAGTGAATGTCAGCTCCATGACGTACTAAACGGAAAACAAAGAGAACCTCAGGATAGGTGCTGAAACCCAAACAGCAGCTCATTTCAGCAGAACCGGTGCTACGTAGCTCACTGTACATCCCACTTACCTCCTGTGGTTGATCAAATATGGCGTTGAAGTCCCCAAAACCACGGCCTCCAGAGAATTCTCCAAAGATTTTGCGGAACAGCTCCTCTGGGTCCACATGGCTGGTCTGTCCGCTCCAGTACTGCTGCCCTCCTCCAGCCTGCCCAGCCTCGAAGCCAGCCGTACCATACGTGTCATACTGCTTCCTCTTTACCTCATCACTAAGCACCTGTGAAGACAAAATTATTCACTTGTTAAAAATAAATACATTTCATATGTGTCTCAAGTAAAACTAATTTACAATGTATGTTAAAAGTTTATATAAAGACGTGGGGCAAACCTCATAAGCTTCGGCCAACTGTGCAAATTTTTCTTTTGCTTGTGGGTCATCTTTGTTTGTGTCCGGGTGGTACTTTTTGGCCATCTGTCAAAAGAAAACACGAACTTCTTTGTAATTTTAGGTTACATTCTGGTTAATCCATGCCTAGATTAGAACCACCATTGTTTGCCACTTGAATAACACATTGATAATATTTTAGATGCTGCAGAATCCTGCACTTCAAGCAGACACAAACCTGGTAGTAGGCTTTCTTTATCTCTTTTTGGGATGCGGTACGAGGAACTCCAAGGACCTGATAGAAATCCTGCTTGTTGCAAGAGGCGCTGGTGTGGAAGGACTGCATGTAGAGAGCATGGGGCAACTTTAGATCTGAAAGATGCCCAGAAAGGCAAGAAGGTCAGTAAATAATATGAAGCATTGTAAAGTTTCACTGCTCTTAGCTCTGCTCTGTTCTGATTTAGATAAGCTCAAATGGGAAAGAAATACCAAAATTTAAGACCTACAGGAGGACATAAATATTCATTTTGCACCAACAATTTGTTTTGCTTTGTTTTTAATATTTATAACATATGCAAATCATAACCAAATAAATTGAATAGGACACTGTGATTATTTTTTATTGAAATCAACAATGGTCTGACAGCTGACACAGCAGTAACAACACTCTTATTAAAATTTAAAAAAAGCTTGCAGTGTTACAGGGTCTGACAAAACTGTAAAAACTACATTGCTTCAACTTATTTAGCCAGCAATCCAAATAAAATCAAAGCATATCCTGCAAATGGTAATTTTGTTAAATAGTTGCGTCCTTGCTAAAATCAATACTAATGACTGCAAAAGTTAGCAAGACCGATTACATCATAACTGATCAACTATTTAGACGTTGTTCAATCTAGATCTATAGAAGTTAAAACCTTCATAAGAGTCATAACTCTCATTAGTTTACGGTAATTCAACGGTCATACTATCTGTCGCTTGATGAAAATAATAATCTCATGGTTAATAGTAGTAGCTTAGCCTAGCTTAGCTAAAGTAGTTCTCACCTGACAGTCCTCTCAATGTCAATGCTTGTCCTGCTCCTCCGAACCACAAGCTGCCTTTGCGACACAGCTTTTCAGCTCCGATAGTAGAAAAACGCCGGACACCTCCATGGTGAGGGGACAAAAAGAGACCGGTAGCTCTTCTAGAACCAGAAGACACGACAACTGTTATCCAGCGTGAGGAGCAGCTAGCGGCCGAGGACGCCATCATGCCGACAGTGAGGTCTGGGTATTGCGCATGCGCGGAGAAAACTGGAAGAGAAAAGTTTATAGAAATGTACCAGAATATTTTTGTATTTACTTTTTTATACATTTTGGGTAATTTATCACTGTTTCTAAAATATAAAAATGGTAAGTAAAATTAATGCAAACGTTTTACCTACTTGCTGCGCACGGAAGTATCGCGTAGTTAAACCATAGAATCTTACGTCTGATTTACCGCCATATTGTGAGTGGCATTCTGCCACTTGCAGACAGCTGTGAAAGCCTGTTCCGTTCCTGGATCAATCTGTAATACTGTAGTTGATCTGTCATTATCGGAGATGGTTAATATCTATTAAACGTTCTCAGTTACATGGATTTACATTTTTCATACATTAACAATGACTTGACCACAAATACAATGTGGTTAATTATGCACATCAATATACAAACATTAAAGATAATAAGTACATAATTCCTGCTCTTTTCAGAACTAAACTTTGTGTTTTACGGGGTAAAGAAGAAATTATGTATTTCTGCAAGTCATCTAGGAGTCTTCAGTTAAATCATAGATAAATAACTACTTTAATAAAAGCTAATTTAATAATCAATTCTTGTAGATATTAGTACTTGTAAATGTCAATTTTATGCAGAAAGATTATTGATAAAAGTAGGTAAGTAATTCCAATGGAGAAGATGTTCACCCCAGTACTCAAACCTGAAAGGATTGTATCCACTATACCTCAGGGGCAGAGCTAGATGGTGGAACAGGGGTGGTCATGGCCACCCTTAGCCAATCATTGGCCATCCCTGTGACCCTACCATTTATTTCCCTCTAATACAGATGGTGGCAACAGTAATACTTTAATTTTTCAAATATTAACTACAAAAACAATAAAAACACTGTGGTTAAATATGCACATTAATATATTAACATTAAAGATGATAAATAAAGAATTCAAGCAGAGATAGATTTTGTGTTTTATAGGGTAAAGAGAAAAGTCGTCTAGGAGTCTTCAGTGAAATAATAGATACATAACTATTTTAATAAAAACGTATTAAATAATCAATTTATGTAGCTATTTGTAATTGTAAATATCAATTTTATGTGGAATGATTACTGATTAAAGTAGGTAAGTGATGACAATGGAAAAGATGTTTCAAACCTGAAACAATTTTATCCATTATACCTTTTATCTAGAAAGCACAGATGTTTGCATATATTCATCTATTTGTAAGCAAAGATTGTACATATAGTTTGTCTTTACTTAGAAAATCTGGATTTTCCTGTCCTGTGTAGATTGACCCAGGAGGTTCTGGTCACCCTAATTAACATTTCCTGACCAATCGCGGACGCGAAGACTTCAAACTTTTCTACAGGGGAAAAGCAGCCAATGAGGAGTCTGCTTTCTTGAACGGAAGAAACGAAACGAAGACCCCGCCCTGTCGTTCGGCTCCGCCGGTAGAGCAAATCGAACGCACACCGCACGGCGGGCTGGAGCTGTCAGCTGTAGCAGCAGCAGCACTCTCAGCAGTACCAACCAGCTCGACAGAGACACCCGGAAGGCACGAAAGTCAATTTGGGAGCGCAGCATGAATCGTTTTAAGACCTCCAAATTCAAAAACACGACACCGAAGGTTTCCAAGAAAGATGTAAGTAGAGAAGCAACCTCTGAGTAGAAACATTTCTCCTGGCTAAGACTAAATAGCTGAGCTGCTTTTGGGGAGGAACGTCTGTCTGGTCTGCCTGCAAGGGATGTTGAACTTCCTGCATCAGGGAGCCTATGCCGGAGTGAAAATATCAGAATGCACTTGCTAGTTATGCAAATTAATAACTATTGTTCGGCGCTGTGATTGATTTTACCACCTAGCGTTTATCAAACGTTGCATTCAAACCCATTTTTTATAATGTTCTCATTGAATTTGCAGCTCATTTTGAGATCGGCTGAGATTTCTCTCACTACGGGCAAAGGATGCTTAATTCAAGACTCGTCATGTCTGGACCAGAATTCATGTGTCTTGCATACAAACATGAACTCTTTAGTTCCAGGTTAGAAGGTTTGCAGTAACCCTTTATGGAGCATTTTATTCCATCTGCTGCTTTCACACATATAAATAAAAGCCTGGCATCATCAGACACACAGCCACAGTCAGTGGATGCTTCCCAGGTTCTACACAGGCAGCAGGTGGTGTCATTCCTGTAGGCATTTATTGATTTCTTATTATTTCAAACACTGTGTTTCCTGGACGGCGACGCCTTTTACTGCTTTTCTGTCTCTGCTTCTGTCTCCTTTAACGCCAGTCGGCCTCGGCAGATGGCCGCTCACACTGATCCTGGTTCTGCTGGAGGTTTCTTCCTGTTAAAAGGGAGTTTTTCCTCTCCACTGTCGCTACCAGCATGCTTAGTGTGAGGGATTGCATTCCAGTCAATGAATCTGGGCTGGTTTTCCTTAGATAGAAAACTTTGAATCTATTTGACTGTATGATCTGGTGAACTGTAAAGTGCCTTGAGATGACATGTGTTGGGAATTGGCGCTATATAAATAAATTGAATTGAATTGCACTAAATTGAAATATAGGACAGGAGAGGTAGAGTATAGGGAGACCGTCATAGGGGAGGGGAAGATGCCAAAAAAAGAGGAGTGGGTGTTGCGTGATGGAATATTCATGGAGAAATTTACCAGCTTTTCTTTGGGGGAAGCAGGCGTTCTCTTGCAACATGCTCTCTACCGTCAGGCCAGTTTCTAATCATGGACACAGATCTGCATTACATTGTTAAAATGCATTTAGTGTTTTTGTTTTGTGTATCATATGCAGTATTGCTCAGATCTATGCATGCTCCCTGATCAAATTGGGACATGCCATTTGCATGCATGTCAGTGCTTCTGCTGGTTTTTGTCATTTGTGGAGCTCAGCAGCAGTAGTTGTTGGAGCATGTTGTAAGCACATGGTGCTCTTGTCATGTCAATGTTATGCAAGACCTTTCTCTGCTGTGCTGTTAAAGAAGCGCTTCTATTTCCTCAGCTTTTGTTCACTTTAATACTCTAAATGTGTGCACACTCAGCTAGATCCTTCCTGTTTATTACTCGGTTCTTTTTCTTTAAGGGTTGTTGCACTAACTTGGTCACATGCTCTCCTTCCTGTCATAAAGCATGCTGTTGTTATTTTATTTTTTTACTATTATGGCCTTTTTTCTTTTTTTTTCTAGGGATGGATCAACAATGTCCATGCTGGCTCCTTCTCCTGCCAAGGGAACCACATCAAAGCAAGCTCCAAGCTGGTGGCTTTCAACACTGATCAGGCTGGTATGGCATTAAATATGTGCCGAAATAGAAGCAATTTAATTAGATCAGGCATCTGCAACTGTTACAATAGAAACAGACATTTTGCCTTTATTTTCTGTTAAAAAGAAAAATGAAAAGCTGCTCTATTATGAATTATATTTGATGAAACACTAAAGTCAGAACAGGACAGTCTGTGTCTTTTCAACATAAAAAAAAAATTAATTAATTAAGGATAGATCTACAGAGTGATAAAAGCTATGATGTCAGCCAAAAAATGTTCACATCCCTTAATGTTGCTTACATTTTGTCAATTTAGATCCAGAACAATTCCTTGTATTTATCAATAAATTTGGAAAGACTAACAGATGGAAATTCATAACTGGGAAATAGAAGAAAATGAATACTTACTTTTTCAAAAATATTTTTATTTTTGTCAATCTGAAAAGAGAGGAAGACATTTTTTTGTCTTTATTCTTATACCTACGGTATAAATAGAAAAAAACTGTCCTTTTTACTCTGATGCAGAAATGCATCACACATATTCTATAAAACAAATTAAACTAACCCTCCCATATTGTTGTTTAGGATTTAATGAGTATGGTCTCTGCCAGCTTTGATATGTGTTTTGCTTTTAGGTGGTGGGATGGTGGGCCTGACCACAGTCGACCCTGCTGATGGCCAATGGACTGTCACCCAGATATCCTGCCATTCTGGTACTTTGTTCATAATCCTTTTTTAAATGATATCTTAATAAAGATAGGTGAATGTGTTGTTATTATTCAGGGTGTGCATTTATAAACTATTTGGTAAATATATTTGTTGAGTTATTAGGATCTTTAGACACATGAAAAACACATTTTGTTGAGAAAGTAAAGGTGCAGTACGTCTGACGTCCTGTGCAGCTTATGTTCACTGGGTTAAGAAAATTTTGCTTTTGCTAATATGAATAATTAATAGATAAATGCAGCAAAAAATAACACTTGACAGATATGAGCCATAACAGCTTTTTAACCCTTTTTTCCCCTCCTCCATCAGATCTGGTGACTGATATGGACTTTTCTCCCTTTGATGACAGTCTTCTGGCTACTTGCTCTGGAGATGGAACAGTAAGATCTGCAATGTCCTACTTTCTGCCCTACTTTGTTATATTATCTGTCAGTATACTAAAGAGTATTCATTTTATTTTTCTTTCCACCAAACTTTAAATTGCTGGTAGTTTTTTTTAATGCAACAACAAAACCCCTTTTTTTGTCCATTAAAACCTTAGAAAAACTCCCTACTGCTTTAATTTTATTTCAAGCCATATATGCCCTAGTTCTCAAAAAGTACTCAGTTTGGATCTGAAACTTTAAAATCACCCAGTTTACCTTAGCCAGCTTTTGCCACTTTTTACCCACACAAAAAAATCACTCCATTCCAAACTTTTGCTTTTTTTAATTGTATGCTAATGCCTCCACCCTAATCTGGTTTTGCAGTGCCAGGTAAATGACCTGACACACCATTCAGGTCTGCTTTGGGAAAATGAAAACTATTCTATAGTCTGCATAATGTTTAGTTGATCGAGGCAAATTTAGAAAACCTAGTTTAAAGAATGTCCCTTCTTCACTATTAGGTTTTCCCCTGTAGCTTTCTTAGTGCTAAGCCCTGCTGTGTTATGCTGCACATGGTGAGGGTTTCACACAGTCTGCAGAATTAGCCCAAAAATCATGACTGGTGCCATTTTCCCCAGTAATTTTGCTCTTGCACAGCCCTCTGCACACAGATGTTGACAGGTGCAGTCAAAAGTAATCCAGAGGACCAAAAAAAATAAAATAAAATAAATAAATAAAAATAAATAAATAAATATTCTTTGTTTTAATAGATAACTATAAAATGCTATCAACTAGGATCTAAAATATAAAGTTTGAACTGTGACATTTGTAAGGTTAAAATATTAACCTACAATGACGCAGTGCTGTTGTATTTTCCCAGTCCCCTAATGTTTCACTGATAAATACAATAAAATGTCTTGTTTTTTGTTCTATGCTCACTCACTATGCAGCGTTATGCACGATTTGGAAGTGTGTGCGCTTTTATCCAGCTGAGAACCTTTTTGATGGCAAGCACAGTGCATGTGGCTCTCTCTACATAGGATCTGATCATTACAAAAAGTATGATATTACACCATTGGTATATGGATGGTGTGGAAACCCCTTTAGATTCTCTGCAAATCGAGTCCGCAGTGGTACTTGTTGGTAACAGTTCTTACACAGTTTCTCCTGCTACTACTGGAACCTTCTCCAATTCACTAAGATCCAGAAGTACTGCCACAGTGTCACTTACAAAGTTGTTCACATTGAAAATAAACCCTCCTACTTTCTGTTATGCATAACAGAGACTTTGATTTTGTTTAAGGCACTTTGGGAAACCTCTTTAATACTTGTTGAGACCATCTAACTTCTGCTAATGTTATGGTACAGTCTTAGTCTGGTCTGAAGGGGTCCTAGGAAGAGATAGTTATTTTATCTTTTTTTAAGGTTGATACCGATACTGATTATTTTAAATTAGTCAGACTGATCTCTGATGTGTTCTGCTGGTTTCCTTTGGCCGATTGTTTTGGCTGATATTTCTTTCTCTTCCTCCATCTACAAAAATGACACAATGATGACAAAAGTTAAAAAAGGAACATTTATTAACACATCAAACAAAATATTAACAATGGTTAGCGAACGGAGGTAGCAGTAATGCATGTGTCTTACATTTTTTAAAGACATGGCTGCAAAATGCACTAGTGAGTCAACAAATTCATTCAACATCAGTACATCAATACTAGAAAGAACTGCAGATATCAGCCAAAAATATTGGCATGCTGATATAGTTTTATTTATTTTTTTGCATCCTATATGTCTAAACCACCCGTGTTAAATCAGTCTCTATCTTCTATTGCTGCTTTATTTACACAGATTAGTTTTTTTTTCTACTCCATCATAAACTGAACATGTTTCAAACGTGTGTTCTGACTGTATCCAGTAAAACACACATCTCTCCTGTGTGTGTTTGCAGGTAAAGCTGTGGCATTTGTGTGATCCTGAGAAGGAGCAGCCCAGCAGTCCTGACCTGACCCTTCAGCCAGGTCAGGGCCGACTGGAGCTGGTGCACTTCCATCCCACCTCCTCAGGCCTGCTGGCTGTGGGAACCACTAAGGCTCCCCTGATTTGGGACACCAGCAAACAAGATGTGCCTCTAGCAGGTAACTATGCCCAGAAAGCATTTGCAGAGTTTACACACTGACAAAATTAAACCTCATGTCACAGAAAGTTTGTCTTGTTTTGTACTTTGTCCGTCAGTCTGTCAGTTACAGCTTAATTTGTGCCACTTTCATGTCGTTTCTATGTGTAGCAGAAATGTGTTTGGACTGAAAGGAGCGGTTGGTTGTCATTTTTTTGTTGTTGTTGGAGATTGTCTGACTGACACTGCCTACGTTTTACAGCCCTGTGGCTCTGTCTATGTGCCGGAGCAGCAGAGGTAATGTTTTTATTTTGCAGTCCTGAGGCTTGTCTGAGGAGCCTGGCCTCAGGATGTGCTCACTGTACTCTGGGCTCATCCACCCCCTTACATTTCCCTCCCCACCACAAACACTGCACACCTCTTTCACCTCCTCATGACAGCTGAGCTGGCTGCTGTTTCTGCTGCTCACTGCTGATCCAGCATCTCATGAGCTGCACCCCCCTACCCCACAGAATCCTCCGTTTCCTTCACTGGTTGCTGTTGTTTTGTGGTCAAGGGGAAAATAAGTACTGGAATTTGTCCAAAAAAAAAAAGAAAAAGTTTCCTAACAGGAACACCTTTTATTTTTTCACCTTTTTGTCCCTCGGTGTTGCAAAGAAACTTTCCACTATCTGTGCTGTGCTCTCCTCTGACTCAGCATTGAGATGTATTTCATGTATAGTCCCTCATTTATTATGTAAATCCTGCATTCCCTCATTGTGCTTTTCTGAATTTATGTTGCTCTGTCTTGCTTTTCTGTCATGTTTTCACAGTGGTGTGTCTTGTTGTTTTCTGTGTTTGCTGGCGTTCTGTTCATCCTGCGTCTCATCATTCTTCCTTTTCCCCCCAACCTTCTCGGCATCAGATTTTTTCTCCTTAAATTGATAATCTATGTTTGCAGCATTGGAGCAACACAGCGACCAGCTGCAAAGTCTCACCTGGAAACGGGACGGCTCCCTGCTTGCATCCTCCAGCAAGGTGAGACTAATTTACATGACCGCAACATTACGACACTATAAGAGAGATCTGAGCCGTACTTCATTTTTGAAAATGTGTCAGTCAAATAGACGGTCACTCACTTAAAGGAATCATTTATATTTACTTAGATGTTTAACAAGGAGGTTTTTCTACAAATTTTTCAGCCTGGTCCCCTTATGATCTCATAAAGAAGAGTTTGTAAACATATGGTTTAGACTTGCCTTGAAATTTGTACCAACCGCTGTTCAAATGCCTGATTTTTCTGATGTAATAAAAGATTTTTATATTTATATTTTTTAAAAACAAAGCGGAGTGTGTATGA